CCAAAACCAAAACCAAAACCTGGGAGCTGTCTTTCTGCTTTAAGCATGACTGCCAGGTTCTTCATTTGCTAGATCGTCTTTGCTTTCCAGCTCCACACCTTGCTTTCCGCAGCTCAGCTGATCTGTCAGCTCTGTTCCTTCTCCTCAGCCATCCTTTTGGAGGGCAGCTTCCCTCTGTTCCATGAAGGCCTGAAATGAATCTGAGGAGTTTCCCTTACCTCTCCTGCCGTGTCCTGTCCTTGGTGATTGAAAGCAGAGAGTGTGTGTGGGGTGGGCGTCATCTCCAGCTCTCCCTGCGTCCCATAACTGAAAGCCCAGAGCAGATCTGGTGGGTTTCCCTCGCGCTTCTGCTCTGCTCCTTCACTCTCCCTCGACCCCCTGCCCTCTAAGGGTGGTTGTGGTGCACATGGGGACGATTCACATGCCTCAGGTAGGATCTGTCAGCTCTACATCCCTGGCCCAAGCATGGGGCTTGCTACCCCTGAGCACTGAGTGAAGGAAGACCTGAGGGTAAGAGCTGGGGGTGGGAGAAGACGTGCCCTTTGGTGCCAGAGGAACTTGGGCTCCTCAGGCTCCCAGCCCAACACACCAGCCCACGTGTGGCCACTAACAGTCTGTTGAAAGTCTGGCTGCTTTCTCCTTTCCCCCATTTATGGCAGATTCCTCTTCTCTGGGCTGTCCTACCCCTAGAGCAGCCATGGGTTTATTCTCTGCTATGAAGGTTTCACTACTTTCTAGAGTTTGGTTCATTTAAGGTTCCTCAGCTCTCTGATGCGTTTTCAAAAATTATGATTCTTATTTGGCTGCTGTTGGTTTTCAGAGAGAGAATGACAATATCCGAAGGCTTTGTACATCCGAAGAAGCAGAATTATTTCCTCAGATTTTGATGGCTCACTCCAACGGTAAAACTAAGGTCTCTCTTCAAATATTACCTCTCCAAAAAGGCATTCCCTGATCACCTCACCTAAAGTCTCACCAGACCCTAGTCTCCCGTCGTGCCTATCCTGCTGTTTTTTCTTTTTCTTTTTTTGTTTTTGTTTTCTGGGGATGGGGGCAGTTAGGTTTGTTTATTTGTTTGTTTATTTAATGGAGGCACTGGGAATTGAACCCAGGACCTCATGCATGCTGGGCATGTGCTCTACCACTGAGCTATACCCTCCCCCTGCTTTATTTTTCTTGCACTGCCCACATCTGCCTGAAATGTGTTCATCTTGTTTTTCAGCTTTTTCTCTACACTATAACTTAGGTTTCACTAGGACAAAAACGTTATTCTTCTTGTCACTATATCCTCAGTTCTAGAACAATGGTAGAGAGCAAATACGATTGCTTACAAATTATAAATTATTTTAAAATCAATTATCTAATATAAAATAATTGTTTCATTTTATAAAAGAAGAAAGTACTTTTACGGGAGAAAAGGAATCTTGAAGCTTAAAAAAAGAAGCATCCAATTGGTGCCACTCTGTCTTTAGGCAACATAATATGCTTTATTAGAATTCTTTTTTTCCCAGCTAAATCATTCTGTGTACATTTACTGCTTCCTCAGATCTTGCTATCAACCCAGGCTCTGAGCAAGAATTATGTATTCTTCATGAAAGGATAAGAGAATTGTTCCCAATGAAAAGAACATTATTCATTGCTTGCCAAATATCACTCATCTTTCTTCTTCTTTTTTTTTTAATGATCCAAAAATGGTACCTGGACACCGGAAGCATAACACTAAAAATTAGATGGCAAAGAAAAATAAAACCAGTGTTTTGATGCTTAGCAATAATAGAAAGGACTGTAGAAGGGAGACATGAAATAAGTAAAATTTAGGATGAATTCAGATACTGAGGAAGTGATATGATACACCTTGGGATTTCAAAGACATATTTTTAAAACATCTTCCTCAGATTGAACAAGGGGCATAAAGAACACATCCCGTGAACAAACTAGCCTTTAAAAGAAGCAACAAACTGAGATACTTGAGTTAGATTCTTCTCTTGCTAGGAACTTCCTGTCTAGAGATCAGTAGCAGAACTCCACAGAAAGCAGTACAGTTAAGAAACACAACTCTGCAATCAGAGCTCAGCGCTAATCTGGGTTTCAGCCTTTACCAACTGTGTGACCCTGGGCAAGTGAACCTCTCCAAAACCAGCTTGTACTTCAAAGGGTTTGGGAAAGATTAACCATTCAACAAATATGTGAGTACTCATTTTTTAGGATACAGCAATGAACAAGAGTAATGAAGATAATTTATGAAAAAGACTTCAGAATACTGTCTGGTACCTATCAAGAGTACAATACAACAACAATTATTACCTGAAATATTAGAGGACAGGATTATATGCATATATTTAATGCAGAAATATAATTTTAAATCACAACTAGAATACATTATCATGGTCAAAAATAGCTTTCTGATTACAGTTACTAATGCAACTAAGTTCATTTTGCTAGGACCACATTTATACAGTTGGTCTACCTCACCATCTGTCATTAATCATTTCCTATCATTTCTTTCACAAAACCTTCTGTCATAATGCCATTTGGGGAAGGGAGGAGCAGAGGGAAAGGACCCAAAATACCATCCTTCTAAATAACCAGAGAAGTAAACACAAATGACACTATTTCTGTCAATACGTCACAACCATAGAATACATAGGCATTCAATGAAAAATAAAAACAGGTTCAGAGATGGAAAAAATTATTTGCAAACCATATATTGGAATAGGGTCTAATATCCAGAATATATAAAGAACTCTTACAGCTCAACAACAAAAAGACAGACAACCCAATTTTATAATGGGCAAAGGAGTTGAATAGCTATTTCTCCCAAGAAGATATTCAAATGGCCAACACGCACATGAAAATATGCTTAACGTTGAGGGGTGGGTATACCTCACTGCTTAGCATGCATGAGGTCCTGGGTTCAACCCCCAGTACCTCTGTTAAAATTTAAAAAAAAAAAAAGAAAAGAAAATATGTTCAACGTCATTAGTTATTAGGGAGATACCACTCCAAACTGCAATGAGATACCACTTCACACTCCCTAGAATGGCTATAAAAATTTTTTTAAGGAAAATGACAAGTGGTGGCAAGGCTGTGGGGAAACTGGAACTCTCGTACATTGTTGGTAGGAACATAAAATGGTGCAACTGCTGTGGAGAACAGCTTGGAAATTCCTCAGTAAGTTGAACGTATAAGTGAAAAGCTGAAATAATCAAAAATCCATATTCGTCAACTGGTGATGGGATAAACAAAATGTAGTACATCCATACAGTGGGAATTACTCAGCCACAGAAAAGAATGAAGCATTGGTCTGTGCTATACTACAGAGGAACCTCAAAAACAGGTTGAGTGAAAATATATGACTCAAAGACCACATATTGTATGATTTCATTTATATGAATACCCACAGTAGGCAAATCCACAGACACAGAAAGCAGGTTAGTGGTTGCCAGGGGCTGGGGGAGAGGAGGAAAAGGCAATGACTGCTTAATGGGTATCGGGTTTCTTTCTGGAGCGACGAAAAAGTTCTGGAATCACATAGTGCTGATGATGGCACAACACTGTGCGTGTGCTTAACACCACTCAACTGTACACTTTAAAATGGCTAATATTTTATGTGTATTTTACCACAATAAGAAAAAACAGATAAATAAAAGCTTAAACAAACTAAAAACATCTGGAACAAGGCTCTGGGTAAAGATGGAAGATTGAATGCACATTTAATTTCATTCCTTCTCAAAACTGTGCTAAATTGCTAATAAAGCATTTTTTAAGGCATGAACGAAAATTTAAAGGCTGGAAAGCAGCAGATGGACCAGCGACAACTATCAGCAGACCCAAGAAAGATGAACCGTAAACCAGCAATGTGGAAAACAAAAAACCAACACGACTGAGTCCACAGAATTCTCAAAAGGCTCAGGAATTAGTAACAGATGTTACCTCTAGAAATAGGGGTAAAGGGAGCACTAAATAAGGAAGTTTAATTACAAGCTCTTAAAGAAATGGCTTCATTTCTCAATGTTTCCCTAAATTTCATGTGGCTGTGTTACTGTGCCTCTTTCACCAAGGCAAAATTTTAGAGGATTATTCTCTGAAGAGGATTTCCAAATAGACGGACACAAAGCACACTGTAGGGAGAAACATGCAGTGCAACCAGGGGCCTCACATAAATACATACATACACTGAATGCTGAAATCCTCTCCTTCCCTCATGCAGCCCCTAGAGAACCCACAAATAAGCTTTCACCCACCAGGCAGGAGATTTAGACATAACAACATAAGTTATGTCCTAAACTGAAAACATCACTTCAGCTATGTCACTTGAAAAGTAACAAGCAAATACCAGACGGCTAGGAGTTGAAAAAGTTGAGAGTGACTATCTCTGAGAAGGGGACAGAAAGGTAGGGACTGAAAACAAAAACAGAAAGAAACAGAGCGAGGGACTGAGAAGTACTGTTTGTCTGGACAATCCCAGACAAACCGCTTAACTCAATAAACTGTCCAACTCTGAAAAACAAATGAAGTTTTAAAAAAATATGGAAGACAAGGAAATAAAATAATTAAGGATTTCCCAAGGACATAAACCCACCTTGGCAACTAAATAAATGTGACCTCTGGAAACTAATAAGTCTAACCTAATTGTCCTGCAAAGTGAAACAACAAAAAAGAATGCATTTGATGGGGGAGGGGGGAGGAAGAGCAATAAAGAAGCAACATTGTTCTCATGCTGTCATAACCCTTGCCAAATGCATGACATCAACAGCAGAAACCCCTAGGTCTCCGTGTTCAGTTCCCCAGTCTGTAAAGTGGGGATAACAGTATCCCTCTCATAGAATTGTTGTGAGGCTTCGATACAATAGTGAACATTAAAGTGCAGACAGCAATGTTGGAAATAGATATTATTAACACAGTTAACATTTTACTCTTTTTTTAAATAACTGAAATTATTTTTTATTTCAAATCATTCAATTGTCACAGTAATATAGAAAGTTTACTTGAATGCTTACCTTGTATACTCAAACATCCAGGCCTCTAACTCTTTCACATGTATCTCCTAAAAGGGGGGGAAGGAGATAAAGTGATTATCCATGAGAAACAGAAAAAACAGTTAATGACGATTGTTATAAAGATGCTAATCATACTGAAGAACCGACTGCACTTGAAAAAATACTCAGGCCACCAGGCTTTATCTTACACTTTTTAGTTGGATTATGATCAATCATTCACTCATGAAGCAAGTCAGCAATGAGAAAAGTCTGTACTAACTATACATTAACTCAGTAATGCTGAGACAAGCTTTTTCCATTTCTAAATAGGTAAAGTCTCCAAATTATGCACAGGTGGTGCTCTCCAAGTTCAGTTCTACTTTGTTATAAAACCTGTGGAACACTTTTCCAAAGAAACAAAATTATGAAATAAAGTTGAGACCTTGGGCAATGAATAAGGCCAATTTAATCCATAGTAACGGAAGAATCATGGAAAAAAGAAAAGAATAAATATAACCATGTTAGGTGACTTTCCAGCACTTCTTTTGTGCTCTCACAGCTAGCAAAAAAATAGCTACTTGGGATTAAGAACTGTGTCACACTTTGTTTTATTCACTCTTGTATCCTTGTAAACATAAACAGTATATAACAGAGTACCTCCCTTCTATCTATTAAATAAATAAAATATTTATTTAACAAAAGAATAATGAGAATTAAGAGTATTATTATATTGTATATATGTACACTACATTTTCTTTATCCATTCATCCATCAATGCACACCTCAGTTTTTCATGTCTTGGCTATTGTAAATAATGCTGCAATGAACATGGGGGTGCAGATATCTCTGCAAGATAGTGATTTCATTTCTTTAGAACATATTCCCAAAAGCTGAATTGCTGGATCATACAGTAAGTCCATTTTCAATTTTTTGAGGTAGATTTTTTATTTGCAGTTTTTCTACTATTTCTAGTTAGTACAGAAGGCTATCAACTGAAAAATCAATACAATGGCCCAAAACATGCAATAAAAAAACTTATTAGAAGACTCAATATTCAGACAAAAATCCTAATTGAAACCCAACATTTTTCTAGTTCAAATGCAACTACCTATACGTAGAGATTTCAGAAATGAAGTAGATAAAATTACCCAACGGTATAATATAAAGTATTTTAGGAACAAAAATAATTACAAAAACAACTGAAAATTATTTAAAATTACAGACTTTAGCAAACAATGTATTTGATGTCCACATTGCAAAGCTGAATTTCACAGTTTAAATCCTGAGACAATTTACCTAAAAAAGAAATCCTTTAATTTTTCATTACTCAAATAAAACAATTTCAATTCCTATGACACGTCCTTAAAGGAATAAAGATTAATTTATCCTAGAGAGATAGAGCTCACTTCAAGCTTTACAGAATATTTGATAATCACATTTCTTCTTCCCGACACAAAATTCAGGTGGATTGTCACCTTAAATGGAGTAAAGCATGAAAAACACTTAAGCTTCAATCTAGTATTAGAAATAATCCACAAATATTATTTCTCTTGAATGCCCTTTCTGCTTTGAAAGTCTATTTCCCCAGTGAAAAACCAATTTACTTTACTTTTTTATATTGATTTCATTTCATGTAAATTTATGAAGGCTGTATAAATATCTGTTAGAATGAATGTAGGAGTTTGAATCGTTGATAATGACTATTGAGCAAAAGAAGAGACAAGGGTTGTGTCATCAGCAAAGGGGACAAAAGCATCTCTAAATCACCTGCCGTATTAACACAACATCTTTTACATCAAGATTTTAAGAGAGGTTTTTTTGTTTGTTTGTTTCATCTACACTCCCCATTACAGTCTCTTTCCCTGGAGAATTTTTTTTTTAATTGAAGTATAGTTGATTTACAATGTTGTTTTACTTTCAGGTGTATAGCAAAGTGATTTAGTTATAGATGTGTAACTTTTTCAGAATCTTTTCCATCATAGGTTATCATATAAGTGAAGTCTTATTTTTTTTGTTTTATAAGTGAGGCCTTTATGTGATATTTTTGAATAATATGTTTATATCCAAAAGAATTTAATCATAATTAATTAAATCTATTTTGAATTTTGATTCAAGAATGTTTTCTGTAGCAAGAGCAATGTTCAACTTCTCTGCTTTAGTAAACTATATGATAAAATGTGGAACTTGCTAAGGGAAAGCAAAGCAGGAAACTTACTATGTCACTTTTAGACACCTGCCCTTATAGTAAATATCATCAATTCCAAGCATATTCCAAACTTTCAGGAGGTGTGGGTGAAGGAACAAAAGAGCATAAAAACTGACACACTTCCATGGTGTAGGTTTATATTTTAGTGTTTTCATTCTGAAAAGCAAACGAGGCAAATTGAGACTTCCAGCTGGCTGCCAGAAGGGCTGTCATGAGTACCAACATTCTTAGGTTAACATTTTCATAAACTCTTTTCTCATTTCTTCCAAGTATCTTAAATAACATTAAACACTGCATAACACGATGCAGCTGCTTTGGAATAACAGTTTGGCAGTTCCTCAAAAAGTTAAACATAGAGATACCATATAACTCAGTAATTCCATCCTAGGTAAGTAACAAGGAAAACTGAAAATATGTTCACACAAAAACTTGTACACAAATGTCCAAGTAACATCATTCCTAATAGTCAAAAAAATGAAAACAACCCAAATGTCCAACTACTGATGAAAGGATGAACCAAATGTGGTATATCCTAACAACAGAATATTATTCAGCCCCGAAGAGCAATGAAGTACTGATATGTCACACCACAGACAAACTTTGAAAACATGCTAAGCGAAAGGATGCAGACACGTAAGGCAATATATCCTATGATCCTATTTATATGAACTACTCTCTTTTTTAAAATTGGAATATAGTCAGTTACAATGGGTCAATTTCTGGTGTACAGTACCATGTCCCTATATGAACTACTGTTAATAGGCAAATCTATAGAAATATAAGCAGATTAGTGGCTGCCAGGGGCTGGGTGAAGTGGAAAAATTAAGAGGGGTTTCCTTTGAGGGTGATGAAAAAGTTCTGGAACTAGATAATGGTGATGGTTGCATAACACTGAATATATTTAACATCACTGAAACGTGTGTTATGTCAACTATATTTTAATTAATGAAAGAAACCCTACAAAACAAAAAACAAATGTTAACATCTTATCAACTTCCAAAACAAATGATGCTTATTTCAGTACACCTTTAAAAATCTAATTGTTAATTGTTAAGGGCATTAGAAACATTTTCAAAATTAAACGTTTTCCTATAATGCCCAATGCCATCCTTAACTTTCTATTTGCCGGGAATTTTCATAAAACTCTTAACCACCAGCTTTGCAATGCTTAATCTGCCGGGGTAGGGACCAATTTTATATAATACCTACACAATTCAAGTGAATTTTTAAATGGGCAGAATGTTCGATTAAATTTGGCTTACCAATATCACATGTTGAATTTTACTACAAGAGAGGAACATATTTATTTCTGATGAATAAGATCAGCAAAAGATCAGAAACTTTTTAGATAGCAAAATTTACCTGGTTTGCTTTAGCCCTCACAAACCTATCTCTGATATTCATTTTTTAAAACGTTGACATTCAATACAAAAAGGCAACATCCAAAAAAAGGCCATGCCAAATGCAATAATAGCTCATTAATCTATTTATCTCAAATACAATAGAAAATACCATTTCTGCTGAATGTGATTCTAGGCAAGGCCAAATTCACCTACATAACAATTTGCCCAGTGTTCATTCACAGTCTTCCTGCTCTTTCTTAACAAGATTTGAGTTGAATAGGCTCTCAACATATATGAATTAATTACATAAATTATCAGATTAAATAACAATCTCAACTTGAAATAATTACATCTAATTGGGACCTATGCAAACCAGGCAATGGAAGTAAAGGCATTATATATTTTACTCATTTCAGCCTCACAGCCTTACAGAGACATTAAGTAACTGAGCTAAGGTCACAAAACTAGTATATTGCAAAGCCAGGATTCAAACCAAGATCTGTCAAACACACAATCAGTCTTGCTAAAACATTCCAAGTGCAGGCTTTACAGGAATATATTTTCAGTTTAAGGCAAATACTCATTTTCTCTCGTCTATGGCTTCTAAATGCTTTGGGAATAAGAAGAAAAAGAGTGATTGAAAAGAACGCTGCTAACAATCAAGTGAGGTGTCTAGGGAAAATGCAATGCACTGTGTGCCTACTATGTGCCACGTGCTGTGCTGGCCATTTTAAATGCATGATCGCTTAACTGTGACAACAGCCCTGGGAGGTAAATATTGGTACTACCTCCTTTTTCATGTAAGATGGAACTGAAGTTTAGGAGGTGCAAGAAGGGCCAAGTTGGAACTGGAAACTAAACTCAGTTTCTCAATGAATATTTACTGAGTGTTTACTATGTACCAGGGCTATATGGGGCACTTAGAATAGAGTATTAGAGCTCCCCCACATACAGCTTAAACCAAACCCATTCTCTTTTTGCTTAAGCAGTAAATCACTGTAAAATTGAAAAATCCCCACAGATTTTTTTCTTTGAATAGCTTTGTTTTAAATGATTACTCATGCTTTGGTTATACATGTTAAGTACTACTCCGAAACCCAAAAAGTGGATCGTCAGAAAAACTGAACAAGCCTCCAGTAGTAAATGAGAAAACAGAAGCAATTCTGTCCTACAGGCATGATTTTGAACATATTGCTAGGTAAAGAAGACCACACTTTGGAAAATACACTTCCTTGTGTTCTGAAGGATGATTTAAACCATTAAGCATTTTGTGAAGCTTTCAAAGGTCTGTCAGATTTTAAATGACAGGAGTGAAATTTCAAAAAGAATAGGAGAAGTCAGCACCAAGGCTAGTTTAACATTAATAATAAGTGATCTAATAAATAGGTCTGTGTTTGCCCAGTCAGGTTTTGCTTATTATGTCAGTTGGAAAGCCAGAAGGAAACTGGTTTCAACTCCCTTACAACCTGTATCATGACATCACTTTATCAGAAATGTAGCGCTAATGTCAGCATAACAC